GTCACGTTCAGTAGAGAATCTTAAAATAATTATCAGTTAAATCATCAGTCTGAGCATAGTCATTAGTAATTGTTTATATTATATTTCAGTTTGATCAGGACACGAGCATCAGCACTACCTCTATTTTTCACGGATCAGGTGGGGACTCAGACTAAGTACTACATTGATTATAATTACGGTACCATGTTTGAGATATGTATTTCATGTCATGTATCCGCTCGGAATGGTCGCCGGTCCATTCTGGGTTCTAGTGGCCTAGTCTGCCCACTAGAGTGTGCACATGGTGTCCGACGATTTTATGCTGGCAGATGAGGTAACGGTCATGGTTCACTTTCACGTGATGATATCAGATTCATGTTCATGTTATTACCGGTTTCATGTTCAGGTTATGTATATACCAGGATCATGATATTGTTATTATATTCACTGTTTACTATAGTATGAGTTTCCACGGAGCACAGTGTTATAGTGCTCACGACCCACTTATTTCATGTTTTTCAGGTCAGGATGTCGGGCCGGAGGTGTGAGATGACGGATGTATTAGGACTTTTATGCATGTGATTGTATATATTTTGATGATGCTACGTTTCTGCTGATTTGACGTTTTGACGAACTTATCTTTTGATTTGACTTTCGGATAAATAATGCTTTCAGTAAACTGTAGATTTTGCTAAAAATTAAAATAACGATTTTGCCGAATAATTCACGTTTTACGGTAGCACCCCGAATTAGTTTTTGCAAAGTAAAAGATTTTATTTTTAAAAGACTTTGCGAAATTACGCACTCTGATTTCACGATAAGGCGGGGTGTTACAATTGGTATCAGAGCACGTTTCTGCGTCTCTGAAAAGTTTTATAAGTCAGAAATTTTCAGAAAAACCTGAACCGTCACGCTCACGCCTCGCCGACTACAGGTAAGTGATGATTTATGTTTTCAGTTATAAACATGTTACTATTGCCTATGCTCAGAAATTATTAAATCATGACTTAGTTAAGATGCTTGAATCAGGATCAGACTTTAAAACTCAGTGTACTCAGATATAACTCTAGACGTCTCAGGATCTATATCAGTATTTTCCGGCCATTTTTTTTGGCAACTCGTCAAGAGATCTGTGTACTTTAGAAATCAGTCAGAATATTTTTCATGTGAACTTTTTCAATGATCAGATGCCGCCCCGTAGGGAACCCGATCACCCGGTTCTTCTTCAGGCCACAGTGGTCGCACAGTTTCGCGACTATTACCCTGAGAAATTCTCCGGGCAGGGAGACCCCCGTATCGTGGACGAGTGGATTCAGGGCCTTGAGTTGATCTTCGAGGTCATGGATCGTCCAGATAGATATCGCGTAATCTTCGTTCAGCTTTAGCTAACCGGTAATGCCCGGCTCTGGTGGAATGCCTACTGGAGCATGCGTCCCGGCGAGAAGGCGGGATGTACATGGGATAAGCTCAAGGAGCTGATCCGCGAGAAGTACTACCCCACCTATTACAGAGCAGAGATGGAGCGTCAGTTTCTGTCGCTCAAACAGGGTACTCGGTCTGTAGACGAGTACGAAAGAGAGTTTACCAGACTTGCAGCTTTTGTTCCTGACTTGGTTCGCACGGAGGCACAGAGGGCACAGCGCTTCATTGACGGGCTTTACCCAGCAGTCCGTCACAATATTGTAGGTCACGGGACCCAGACGTATGCTCGTGCAGTTTCTATTGCCCAGGAGGTGGACGCCAGCATCAAGAGGGAGGCTGTCCGTGATCGTTCTCAGCCGTCCGCCCCTGCCCAGTCATCCACAGCTCCACCAGCCCTACCAGCTGCTCAGCCGACGAAGGAGAAGAAGAGGAAGGGGAAGGGTGCTCAGACCGACAGGAGGACCCCACAGAGACAGCAGTAGGTGCCATCATGCCCGACTTGCGGACGACTTCATCGCGGAGAGTACCACATGGGCCAGGATATTTGCTACTACTGCCACGAGCCCAGACATTTTATTAGCCGTTGTCCGAAGAGAGTTCAGCAGCAGCCTCAGCAGCCACCACAGCAGCAGCAGTCCCGTCAGCAGGCTCAGAGGCCGCCTCAGCAGCAGCAGCAGAGGGGAAGACAGCAGGCCCGAGTCTACGCGGTTGATCAGGCCGAAGCAGCGCATCAGCCAGGTACTATGTCAGGGATGGTTGTGCTTAATGATATTCCTGTTTTCGCTTTGTTCGATATTGGAGCAACACATTCTTTCATTTCACGACGATGTCTTGATGCCATCGGAGTTCATGCCATTACCGCGGTCGATCCTCTCGAGGTGAGTTTAGCCCCGGGACGAAAGATAGTGACCTCAGCTAAAGCTTCAGATCTTAGCCTCTCCATCGGTGGCCGAGTATTGTCTGCCGACACGTATGTTCTCGAGATGAGGGACTTCGACCTTATTCTCGGAATGGATTGGCTATCCTTTTATCATGCAGATATTCGATGTCATGACCGGGAGATTACTCTCTATCTTCCGGAAGATGATTCGATTACTTTCTTTGGCTCCAGGAATCGTTCCTTGCCTTATGTTGTTTCGATGGCGAAAGCCACCAAGTTGCTGCGACGAGGCAATTGCCAGGGTTATCTGGTGAGCCTTGTTGATGATTCTCAGAAAGCACGATCACCTCACGATGTCCCAGTTGTTCGTGAGTTTGTGGACGTGTTCCCAGATGAGCTTCCAGGAGGACCGCCTAACCGACAGGTGGAGTTCTCTATTGACCTTATTCCAGGAGCCGGTCCAGTATCCAAAGCTCCGTACCGTATGGCGCCGAAGGAGTTGCAGGAGCTTAAGGCGCAGATCCAGGAGCTATTATGGCTCGGTTTCATCCGACCGAGCGTGTCACCTTGGGGAGCACCCGTTCTCTTTGTCAAGAAGAAGGACGGTTCCATGCGCATGTGTATCGACTACCGGGATCTTAACCGGTTGACGATCAAGAACAAGTATCCGCTTCCCAGGATCGACGACTTATTCGATCAGTTGAGGGGAGCCTGTGTGTTCTCAAAGATTGATTTACGATCAGGCTACCACCAGCTGAAGATTAAGGAGTCAGATATCGCTAAGACCGATTTCAGGACTCGTTACGGCCATTACGAGTTCGTCGTCATGCCATTCGGCCTCAGCAATGCTCCAGCGGTTTTCATGGACCTGATAAACCAAGGAGCACGAGGAGCATCTGAGGGTGGTTCTCGAAACCCTCAGACGAGAAAAGTTGTTTGTAAAATTCTCCAAATGCGAGTTCTGGCTCCAGCGAGTAGCTTTTCTGGGTCATGTGATTACTCAGGCAGGTATCGAGGTGGATCCTTCTAAGGTCTCAGCTGTTCAGAACTGGTCGACACCGAAGAGTCCGTCCGAGCTGACGAGGAAGTCTGTGAAGTTCGCGTGGACTGATCGTTGTGAGGCGAGCTTTCAGGAGCTCAAGAGTAGATTAACTTTAGCCCCGGTGTTGACTATTCCTGATCCTTCTCAGAGTTTCACCATTTTCAGTGATGCTTCGAAGTAGGGTTTGGGATGTGTACTCATGCAGGACGGCCAAGTTGTTGCCTATGCTTCACGCCAGCTTAAGCCGCACGAACATAACTATCCGACGCACGACTTAGAGTTAGCCGCCGTTGTTCATGCCCTCAAGATTTGGCAACATTATCTTTACGGCGTTCGTTGCAAGATTTTCACAGATCATAAGAGCCTGTAGTACATTTTCACGCAGAAGGAGCTTAACATGAGACAACACCGTTGGCTCGAGCTCGTCAAAGATTACGATTGCTCGATTCAGTATCATCCGGGGAAGGCGAACGTCGTTGCTGACGCCCTAAGCCGAAAAGTGAGAGGTGACTTGACGTACGTCGTTACT